AGCCTCTCATATGTCCCTGCCGACCTTGGCAAACAGAGCCTATTCTTAGGTCCCTGGAATCTGAATGATAATGCTATCACTTTAAAATCCAAAATGGTTGCCACTTATAAAGATTCAAAATGGCTGCACCCTCGGTGACTTTAATTATCCAAAATGGCCACTGCTTGTAAACATTCAAATTGGCTGTGCCCTCAGTCACTTTAAATATCCAAAATGACCACTGCTTGTAAACATTCAAATTGGCTGTGTCCTTGGTCACTTTAAATATCCAAAATGGTCACTGCTTGTAAACATTCAAATTGGCTGCGCCCTTGGTCACTTTAAATATCCAAAATGGCTGCCACATGTAAATAATCAAAATGGCTGCACCCTCCGGACAGTGGGAAGTCAACAGCTCAGGTTGCTGTTTCTGTTCCTAGTCATAGGCCCCCAATGCGGTCGTCCCTACAGCCCTTGGGGACCAGGGCTGATCTTTAGGTCAATTCTCAGGTCCCAACACCACTTGGAAATATTTATGCTGTTGGTCCCATTGGAGCAGCTGACAGTCCGCAGCTCTGTCCTCACTGTTTTTGTTCAGGTTTTTCCACTAGTTGGTGCCTAATTCACTTCTGTATCATTCCTTTCAAAGCTCAGGTGTCCAGGATTATCTTCTCTATCTCTGTCAATTGGTTTTTCTTTTCTTTGTTGAATAGGGTCTGTGTTGCTTTTCTGCTTATTCCTCCATCTTACCAGAAGTCTTCTTTCTGCTTCTTCCTACTGCTTATCTTCCCGCTTCTTTCTGTCTCTAAACATCTCTGTGGGGTTGGCTGCTTAAATCCCCAAACTCTTTGTTAATGTCAAGGCATGGCCCCTACCACCAGAGCCACTAACTGACCAATCTCCTCTCAGTGGGCCACAGACATTTCATTTGCATGTTGTTATGTACTGTCAAGTTGGACCCGACTCATAGTGACCCCTCCTTGGATTTCTGAGGCAGTATCTCTGTGGAAGTAGATTGCCCAACTTTCCTTCTGATGAGTGGCTGGTGGGTTTGAACCACCAGCTTTCTGGTTAGTAGTCAAGTGCCTCAGGCACTATGCTACCAGAGCTCCTAGTAAGCTACAACTCACCTCATTTGCATAGTCTAGTGACCAATCCCTGCAAGATGCATACCAAATCACAGGGTAGGCTGCAGCCCAGGACTAGGCAGAAAGTATAAAACCATCCTTGTTTTCAACTTACCCAGGAAATGTCAATCAAGTTGAACAAAAGTAAACAAACCCTCTGGGACAGAGAACTAGGGCAAAGGTAACTCTTCAGGGCTGAGGGAAAAATCTCTCAAGCCCGTTTCTCCCCCCAGAGAATCAAGGTAAAAGCCTACATAAAGGAACTCATTTCACTATAGGTATTTAATATTATTTAATATTTAAATTATTATTTAATATGATAAACATAAAATAAAACAAAAAATAAGAAGCTCTGGTGGCATAGTGCTTAGGGCATTTGACCAGAAGGTTGGCAGTTCAAACCCACGAGCCACTTTGTGGAA